AGCAATATAATACTTGGGACCAACTATAACCCGCGTGTGTCCTCACAAGAAGCAATATAATACTTGGGACCAACTCTAACCCGCGTGTGTCATCACACCAATCAATATAATACTTGGGACCTACTCTAACCTGTCGTGTCATCACAACAAGCAGTATAATACTTGGGGCCAACTCTAACCTGTCGTGTCCTCACAACAATCAATATAATACTTGGGACCAACTCTTACCTGTCGTGTCCTCAAAACAATCAATATAATACTTGGGACCTACTCTAACCTGTAGTGTCCTCACAACAATCAATATAATACTTGGGACCAACTCTAACCTGTCGTGTCCTCACAACAATCAATATAATACTTGGGACCTACTCTAACCCGTGTGTGTCATCACAACAAGCAATATAATACTTGGGACCAACTATAACCCGCGTGTGTCCTCACAAGAAGCAATATAATACTTGGGACCAACTCTAAACCGCGTGTGTCATTACACCAAGCAATATAATACTTGGGACCTTCTCTAACCTGTCGTGTCCTCACAACAAGCAGTATAATATTTGGGACTTACTCTAACCTGTGGTGCCCTCACAACAATCAATATAATACTTTGGACCAACTCTAACCTGTCGTGTCATGACAACAAGCAATATAATACTTGGGGCCTACTCTAACCCATGTGTGTCCTCACAACAAGCAATATAAAACTTGGGACCAACTCTAACCTGTCGTGTCCTCACACCAATCAATATAATACTTGGGACCAACTCTAAACCTGTCGTGTCCTCACAACAAGCAATATAATACTTGGGACCAACTCTAACCTGTCGTGTCCTCACAACAAGCAATATAATACTTGGGGCCAACTCTAACCTGTCGTGTCCTCACAAAAATCAATATAATACTTGGGACCTACTCTAACCCGTGTTTGTCCTCACAAGAAGCAGTATAATACTTGGGGCCAACTCTAACCTGTCGTGTCCTCACAACAAGCAATATAATACTTGGGACCTACTCTAACCCATGTGTGTCCTCACAACAAGCAATATAATACTTGGGACGTACTCTAACCTGTCGTGTCCTCACACCAATCAATATAATACTTGGGACCTACTCAAACCTGTCGTGTCCTCACAAGAAGCAATATAATACTTGGGGCCAACTGTAACCTGTCGTGTCCTCACAACAATCAATATAATACTTGAGACCTACTCTAACCTGTCGTGTCCTCACAACAATCAATATAATACTTGGGACCTACTCTAACCTGTCGTGTCCTCACAACAATCAATATAATACTTGGGGCCAACTCTAACCTGTCGTGTCCTCACAACAAGCAATATAATACTTGGGACTAACTCTCACCCGTGTGTGTCCTCACAAGAAGCAATATAATACTTGGGGCCTACTCTAACCCGCGTGTGTCCTCACCACAAGCAATATGATACTTTGGGCCAACTCTTACCTGTCGTGTCCTCACAACAAGCAATATAATACTTGGGACCAACTCTAACCCGCGTGTGTCCTCACAACAAGCAATATAATACTTGGGACCAACTCTAACCTGTCGTGTCCTCACAACAATCAATATAATACTTGGGACCTACTCTAACCCGCGTGTGTCATCAAAACAAGCAATATAATACTTGGGACCTACTCTTACCCGTGTGTGTCCTCTCAACAAGCAATATAATACTTGGGACCAACTCTAACCTGTCGTGTCCTCACAACAAGCAATATAATACTTGGGACCAACTCTAACCCGCGTGTGTCCTCACAAGAAGCAATATAATACTTGGGACCAACTCTAACCTGTCGTGTCCTCACAACAATCAATATAATACTTGGGACCTACTCTAACCCGCGTGTGTCATCAAAACAAGCAATATAATACTTGGGACCTACTCTTACCCGCGTGTGTCCTCACAACAAGCAATATAATACTTGGGATCTACTCTAACGTGTCGTGTCCTCACAAGAATCAATATAATACTTGGGACCTACTCTAACCGGCGTGTGTCATCAAAACAAGCAATATAATACTTGGGACCTACTCTTACCCGTGTGTGTCCTCACAACAAGTAATATAATACTTGGGACCAACTCTAACCTGTCGTGTCCTCACAACAATCAAAATAATACTTGGGACCAACTCTAACATGTCGTGTCCTCACAACAAGCAATATAATACTTGGGACCAACTCTAACCCGTGTTTGTCCTCACAAAAATCAATATAATACTTGGGACCTACTCTAACCCGTGTTTGTCCTCACAAGAAGCAGTATAATACTTGGGGCCAACTCTAACCTGTCGTGTCCTCACAACAAGCAATATAATACTTGGGACCTACTCTAACCCATGTGTGTCCTCACAACAAGCAATATAATACTTGGGACGTACTCTAACCTGTCGTGTCCTCACACCAATCAATATAATACTTGGGACCTACTCTAACCTGTCGTGTCCTCACAAGAAGCAATATAATACTTGGGGCCAACTGTAACCTGTCGTGTCCTCACAACAATCAATATAATACTTGAGACCTACTCTAACCTGTCGTGTCCTCACAACAATCAATATAATACTTGGGACCTACTCTAACCTGTCGTGTCCTCACAACAATCAATATAATACTTGGGGCCAACTCTAACCTGTCGTGTCCTCACAACAAGCAATATAATACTTGGGACTAACTCTCACCCGTGTGTGTCCTCACAAGAAGCAATATAATACTTGGGGCCTACTCTAACCCGCGTGTGTCCTCACAACAATCAATATAATACTTGGGACCTACTCTAACCCGCGTGTGTCATCAAAACAAGCAATATAATGCTTGGGACCTACTCTTACCCGTGTGTATCCTCTCAACAAGCAATATAATACTTGGGACCAACTCTAACCTGTCGTGTCCTCACAACAATCAATATAATACTTGGGACCTACTCTAACCCGCGTGTGTCATCAAAACAAGCAATATAATACTTGGGACCTACTCTTACCCGCGTGTGTCCTCACAACAAGCAATATAATACTTGGGACCTACTCTAACGTGTCGTGTCCTCACAAGAATCAATATAATACTTGGGACCTACTCTAACCGGCGTGTGTCATCAAAACAAGCAATATAATACTTGGGACCTACTCTTACCCGTGTGTGTCCTCACAACAAGCAATATAATACTTGGGACCAACTCTAACCTGTCGTGTCCTCACAACAATCAAAATAATACTTGGGGCCAACTCTAACCTGTCGTGTCCTCAAAACAATCAATATAATACTTGGGGCCAACTCTAACCTGTCGTGTCCTCAAAACAATCAATATAATACTTGGGACCTACTCTAACCTGTCGTGTCCTCACAACAAGCAATATAATACTTGGGACCTACTCTAACCTGTCGTGTCCTCACAAGAAGCAATATAATACTTGGGACCAACTCTAACCCGCGTGTGTCCTCACAAGAAGCAATATAATACTTGGGACCAACTCTAACCTGTCGTGTCCTCACAACAATCAATATAATACTTGGGACCTACTCTAACCCGCGTGTGTCATCAAAACAAGCAATATAATACTTGGGACCTACTCTTACCCGCGTGTGTCCTCACAAGAAGCAATATAATACTTGGGACCTACTCTAACGTGTCGTGTCCTCACAACAATCAATATAATACTTGGGACCTACTCTAACCGGCGTGTGTCATCAAAACAAGCAATATAATACTTGGGACCTACTCTTACCCGTGTGTGTCCTCACAACAAGCAATATAATACTTGGGACCTACTCTTACCCGTGTGTGTCCTCACAACAAGCAATATAATACTTGGGACCTACTCTTACCCGTGTGTGTCCTCACAACAAGCAATATAATACTTGGGGCCAACTCTAAACCTGTCGTGTCCTCACACCAATCAATATAATACTTGGGGCCAACTCTAACCTGTCGTGTCCTCAAAACAATCAATATAATACTTGGGACCTACTCTAACCTGTCGTGTCCTCACAAGAAGCAATATAATACTTGGGGCCAACTCTTACCTGTCGTGTCCTCAAAACAATCAATATAATACTTGGGACCTACTCTAACCTGTCGTGTCCTCACAAGAAGCAATATAATACTTGGGACTTACTCTAACCTGTGTGTGTCCTCACAAGAAGCAATATAATACTTGGGGCCTACTCTAACCCGCGTGTGTCCTCACAACAAGCAATATGATACTTTGGGCCAACTCTAACCTGTCGTGTCCTCACAACAAGCAATATAATACTTGGGACCAACTCTAACCCGCGTGTGTCACACAACAATCAATATGATACTTTGGGCCAACTCTAACCTGTCGTGTCCTCACAACAAGCAATATAATACTTGGGACCAACTCTAACCCGCGTGTGTCACACAACAAGCAATATGATACTTTGGGCCAACTCTAACCTGTCGTGTCCTCACAACAAGCAATATAATACTTGGGACTTACTCTAACCCGCGTGTGTCATCAAAACAAGCAATATAATACTTGGGACCTACTCTTACCCGCGTGTGTCATCAAAACAAGCAATATAATACTTGGGACCTACTCTAACCCGCGTGTGTCATCAAAACAAGCAATATAATACTTCGCGTCTACTCTAACCTGTCGTGTCCTCACAACAAGCAATATAATACTTGGGACCTACTCTAACCCGTGTGTGTCCTCACAACAAGACAAGCAATATAATACTTGGGACCTACTCTAACCCGTGTGTGTCATCACAACAAGCAATATAATACTTGGGACCAACTATAACGCGCGTGTGTCCTCACAAGAAGCAATATAATACTTGGGGCCAACTCTAACCCGCGTGTGTCCTCACAACAAGCAATATAATACTTGGGGCCAACTCTAACCTGTCGTGTGTCTTCACAACAAGCAATATAACACTTGGGGCCTACTCTAACCCGTGTGGTCATGTGATTTACGATTCAAATGAAGAAGACAATGGCAAACCTAAGAATCATCTCACCTTTTCTGTACATTCCTTCGTGTCCTTCCTTCCAGTCTTCGGACCGATTGCTATTTGGTAATTCCTCCTTCACCTCCGTGGCTGCAACCTTCAGCTTCTTAAAGCTGCACGCTTCCGCTATTTGCTCACAGAGTTCATCAGTGACTGACTCTCCGATGAACTCGGCAACCGTTTTGATGTTTTTAACAGGATCCTAAAAAGAAAACCATCAGGCGACATCACATGCCCCATATCAATAACTATATTACAGCAGATGGCAAGGACATGACGTCCCCTTGGAGCGACTTCACAGTACACAGGAATGAGCAGAGTGAAGTTTGAATTTTCAAGTGTTCAGACAAATCTTCTAACTGTATACTTAGCAGACCATGACCTCCTTTCGACACAGGTCTTAGATCAAAGAAATACAAACCTCTTTCAAGTTTTCATAAAACAAGGTTAGGAAAGGCAAGTCCGGGTTGTCCTGTTTCACTTGCTGCCAATCCTTCACGTAGTCTGCATAACCACCACCGGGAACTGAAACATTGGAAGTAATTAAATGAAACACCATAAACATATATTTATATGTAAGCATATGTCTACAGGAAGGCCAGCGCCTACTGAAGTAGCGATGAAACAGGGCAGAACTTTATGTATTTTTTTAAGCAACATATAGGTAAATCTTAATCCACATTCAAGGAGCAGCACATCGGAGCATTTAATATTAACCCACATTCACAGAGTGCGTCTCATTAGAGTCTTCACACTCAGCGCAGCAGGTCAGATCCTGTTACCCACACTCAGACAGCGCAGCAGGTCAGATCCTGTTACCCACATTCAGACAGCGCAGCAGGTCAGAGATTTTAAACCCATATTCATACGGCGCAGCAGGTCAGAGCCTATAGCCCACATTCAGACGGCGCAGCAGGTCAGAGACCAAAGCCCACATTCAGACGGCGCAGCAGGTCAGAGACCATAACCCACATTCAGACGGCGCAGCAGGTCAGAGACTATAACCCACATTCAGACGGCGCAGCAGGTCAGAGACCAAAGCCCACATTCAGACGGCGCAGCAGGTCAGAGACCATAGCCCACATTCAGACGGCGCAGCAGGTCAGAGACCAAAGCCCACATTCAGACGGCGCAGCAGGTCAGAGACTATAACCCACATTCAGACGGCGCAGCAGGTCAGAGACCAAAGCCCACATTCAGACGGCGCAGCAGGTCAGAGACCATAGCCCACATTCAGACAGCGCAGTAGGCCAGAGACCATAACCCACATTCAGACGGCGCAGCAGGTCAGAAACCATAACCCACACTCAGACAGTGCAGCAGGTCAGAGACCAAAGCCCACATTCAGACGGCGCAGCAGGTCAGAGACCATAGCCCACATTCAGACAGCGCAGCAGGTCAGAGACCATAACCCACATTCAGACGGCGCAGCAGGTCAGAGACCATAACCCACATCCAGACGGCGCAGCAGGTCAGAGACCATAACCCACATTCAGACAGCGCAGCAGGTCAGAGACCATAACCCACATTCAGACGGCGCAGCAGGTCAGAAACCATAACCCACACTCAGACAGCGCAGCAGGTCAGAGACCATAACCCACACTCAGATAGTGCAGCAGGTCAGAGACCATAACCCACATTCAGACGGCGCAGCAGGTCAGAGACCATAACCCACACTCAGACAGTGCAGCAGGTCAGAGACCATAACCCACATTCAGATGGCGCAGCAGGTCAGAAACCATAACCCACATTCAGACAGCGCAGCAGGTCAGAAACCATAGCCCACATTCAGACAACGCAGCAGGTCAGAGACCATAACCCACATTCAGACAGCGCAGCAGGTCAGAGACCATAACCCACATTCAGACAGTGCAGCAGGTCAGAGACCATAACCCACATTCGGACAGCGCAGCAGGTCAGAGACCATAACCCACATTTAGACGGCGCAGCAGGTCAGAGACCATAGCCCACATTCAGACGGCGCAGCAGGTCAGAGACCATAGCCCACATTCAGACGGCGCAGCAGGTCAGAGACCATAGCCCACATTCAGACGGCGCAGCAGGTCAGAGACTATAACCCACATTCAGACGGCGCAGCAGGTCAGAGACCATAACCCACATCCAGACGGCGCAGCAGGTCAGAGACCATAACCCACATCCAGACGGCGCAGCAGGTCAGAGACCATAACCCACATTCAGACGGCGCAGCAGGCCAGAGACCATAGCCCACATTCAGACAGCGCAGCAGGCCAGAGACCATAGCCCACATTCAGACAGCGCAGCAGGTCAGAGACCATAACCCGTATTCAGACAGCGCAGCAGGTCAGAGACCATAGCCCACATTTAGACGGCGCAGCAGGTCAGCAGCTCAGACAAAAACAGTCAAAGTGATTTGACATGTATTCGTTAAATCAGTCATGCATGACAATATTACCGTATAACCCCTGATAACCTGGCCATACAACGGAAAGAAAAAGGCCTCTATGCTACAGTGTCTCCAGCGAAGAAAAATGAAAACTCAGAAAGGGAACCTAGATGAACCTGGGGACAAATCTAGACTTGCTTTGTTTTGAGTTAAAGCATAAGAGTAAGTGATGGGCGAAAGGGATATAAAATGGTTCAGGGACTGGGAGGCAGACTACACGGCGTGTTGCCTTAATGTGGGAGGAAAGCCTGAAGACATTCATGTCCCAGACGTTTACCATCTTTGTCAAACTCACGAGCCAGGGCATAGTGCTGACACAGCTAGAAACGTAATTGGAACCGGGATTCGAATCCATGATAATAGGTTTCTGGCATGCCATGCCAATTGCGGAACCTTAAACGACTGGGCCACCGTGAACTGTATTTGGTTGAATAGCTGAAGAAACGTTAGTAAACGTATCATATTAATTGTTGATTTGAAATTAAATAAATATAAAAAAACATTTCTGCCGTTGGATTATTATAAACATATACATGCATGGTAATAACCATATTACACTATCAGCCTTTGTTAAAATCATGAGGCTTGATATGACCATTGAACATTTCACTCACCTTTTCCTTCAAGAAACAGATCCAGAAATTCTGAATACGTCCCGTCATACATAAACACCTTTTTGTGTCCGCTGACATGATGATAGTGAGATACGCTGACATCTTTTGGATTTCGCATGATGAGGATGGTTTTAATCCTCTTCTCCACCAGTTTCTCCGGCAGATGACGGAAGTAAAGATGCGAGTTCAGAACCCGCGGGGAGGGAAGTTCATCAGCCCGCTGAAACTTCGGCGCCTCCAACATGGCGATCTCCTTCGCCTTCTTGTTGTACTCAGAGTTACCGGCCCTGAGCATGGTGACGATTTCCCACAACCAGTGGGTACCTGGAGAGATCGGAATAGACAGCATCATGTGTGTGAGATGTGAGAGTTGCTGGGTGCTTGGGTGTTTAGCCCCATACTGAGCCACATGCTTACTGCGGCGTATAAAAACATTCACTCACACTCTAGAAATCATATTATTCATTTTAAAATCATTTATTGAGTAAATCGTCTATCTCGAGTTCTTACCACATTTGGGATATGCCACTATCATGACGTCATCGTCCCTCAGCTCGAACTTCTGAACATTTCGGATTATTTCCATATGAGCTTCAGGGGTAGTGTGAATATGCAGGAGGACGCCGTCATGTTTGTAGAAGGACCACCCATGACCATTTTCATTCCGGTAGTCCAGAATCTCGTGAGTTCTGTGAAGAATGAATGAGTGAGGGATTTAGGGCAGGTCAGAGATCATAACCCACATTCAGACAGCGCAGCAGGTCAGAGAGTTAAAACCAACATTCAGACAGCGCAGAAGATCAGAGGCTATAACCCACATTCAGACAGCGCGGCAGGTCAGAGGCTATACCCCACATTCAGACAGCACAGCAGTTCAGAGTTAAAACCCACATTCAGACAGCGCAACAGTTCAGAGAGTTAAAACCCACATTCAGACAGTGCAGCAGGTCAGAGGCTATACCTCACATTCAGACAGCGCAGCAGTTCAGAGAGTTAAAACCATGATTCAGATAGCGCAGCAGATCAGAGGCTATAACCCACATTCAGACAGTGCAGCGGGTCAGAGCCTATAACCCACATTCAGACAGCGCAGCAGGTCAGAGGCCATTTCCCACATTCAGACTGCGCAGCAGGTCAGAGAGTTAAAACCCACATTCAGACAGCGCAGCAGATCAGAGGCTATACCTCACATTCAGACAGCGCAGCAGTTCAGAGAGTTAAAACCATGATTCAGATAGCGCAGCAGATCAGAGGCTATAACCCACATTCAGACAGTGCAGCAGGGCAGAGGCTATACCTCACATTCAGACAGCGCAGCAGATCAGAGGCTATACCCCACATTCAGACAGCGCAGCAGATCAGAGACCATATCCCACATTCAGACAGCGCAACAGGTCAGAGGCTATAACCCACATTCAGACAGTGCAGCAGGGCAGAGGCTATACCCCACATTCAGACTGCACAGCAGGTCAGAGTTAAAACACACATTCAGACAGCGCAACAGGTCAGAGGCTTTTCCCCTACATTCAGACATCATGCACACACACACACACACACACACACACACACACACACACACACACACACACACACACACACATTTTTGTTATATAGCTGTATTGCGGCAGTCTGTGAATAATCGTGTCTGGACCACACAATTCAGTGATATGAGCATCGATCCACGCAACTTGGATACGATGATCTGCATCAACCAAGTCAGCGAGCCTGACCACCCGATCCCGTTAAATGGGATTGATGACATGCATCAACCAAGTCAGCGAGCCTGACCACCCGATCCCGTTAGTCTCCTCTTACCACAAGCATATAGGTTGCTGAAGACCTATTCTAACCCGGATCTTCACGGGTCCGTTTTACAGTATTAAAAGAGTAGTTGAAATGGTAATTTGTTTGAGGACGTACTTGGCAAGAAGGATTCAATCTGTGAGCCAGTGTCAATGTAACACTTATCTCGCTTTGCCTAGTTTCATCCAAGCGTACCTCAATCCCGTACGTTCCGTGCAACTGACGTATTAAGCCGAGAGGTTGGTTGGTTGGTTGGTTGGTTGGTTGTTTGGCGCCGCACTTGGCATATTCCAGCTATACGACGGCGGCTTGTAAATAATCGAGTCTGGACCAGACAATCCAGTGATTGATATCATTAGCATCGATCCACGCAATTGGGATTGATGACATGCATCAACCAAGTCAGCGAGCCTGACCACCCGATCCCGTTGGTCGCCTCTTACGACATCGTCGCGTATGGTGTCAACTAATTAAAAACACTGCAATAGCGACGAAGGATGAAGCTTATTTGAGGAGAATATTTACTTACTGCTGACTTTCCATGTTGATCAGTACTTGTTATGATGGACGCTTGAAATGTCCTTCTCTCGTGACTTCGCTACTTACCTAATCACGTTCCTACACAGTGTAGATTACCTACATATGAAAGTTCATGTACTTTTATGTCACTTTGACCCATCGTTGGTCATACTGGTTCACGCTGACTGTTGCGTTTAGACAGTCACCCAGTTAACTGCGCAGGCGTTGGGGGTCCATACAGATAAAACGGCGACGCGAGTCAAGAGTTCGAGTCCCAGATATGTTTACAAAAGGTTTGATAGTTAAGCGTCTACGACCTGCGTTATTGAGCTTTCCTACATACTAAGACTGTTTCAGGTGCTGTGAACTGAAACAGAATTCAAAGCGGCGTCAAACCCAATCTCTCACACTATCAATAAGTATTCCAAGCTTGTTTAGGGGTACACTACACATCTGTAAGGAAATCAATACTCGTTGCTTGTCAACCTTTTCGACTTGACGTCCGTGTCCAGTTAACCCTTAAAATCCTACAGTGTTAATTCTATGTTTATTAGGGGGCACGGGTGGCCCAGTCGTCTAAGGCGCCGCGATTCGCTGTGCAGAGTTGCGTCCCTTGGGCACGCCAGAAACCTATGATTGTGGGTTCGAATCCCGGTTCGCCGCGATTTTGTTTTTAGGTTTGTCGGCACCATACCCGTGCTCGTGTGTTTCACCGAAGTGGTAAACGTCTGAGACCTGCATCACTTCGGCCTTTCCATCCACATTATGCTGACACGCCGTGGTATAACTGGAATAATGTTAAAAGCGGCGTTAAATCCAACTCACTCACTAATTTATTTACACACATATAACACAAGCCCTGGCGACTACATAGCAACGAAGGAAGCGCCCCAATCAATGTCACTGGTGAGACACAGCCCTGTTTGTTTCGAGGGCTGCTGGCGTGGACTGGTACAGTCTTGGCTGAGTAGACAAGCGGTCTGAATCAGCAATGTTTACAGGTCTTTACAGTGTTGTCACTACCCCTAGTGGCGAGGTAAAGGAACAAATCGAAGGGGTCTTGAATGGTTCTTGTTTATTCAAGTCTGAAGCAGTGAAGACCCAAGCATGATAAAATAAACTTCCTGTCCATACAGCGCCGAAAAAGGCGTATTTATCTGCTACATACATATATGAATGAACGCTAACTGTAATGAGTCATCATCAATAATGATTTACATCAGCTGTAACTTACAAATTTTCCCCTTTATCAGCAAAGAAACCGTCATTATGCCCACCACGCAAGTACGGTTATCGCGCTTACTCACAAAGAACCATAACTCTAATTGACTGTTAATTAATGACGTCGTGAATGTCAACATGCACGCAACACTGGTTCGAGTCGAACCCATGCAACGCAACATAAACATACTTTTCTTTTCCCTTTTCTTCACATGTTTTACATGCATAACAAACATCAAAGTATTCAACACCTCTAACATAAGAAAGTACTTCCTTAAGTACATGAAATCAACACAACATCAACCCAGAAGCCCATACAAAGTAAATACGTGTACATTAATGTTGTAAGTGCAACACCTAGTGTACAGTACATTCACCCCGTGCATTCCAAAAGACCCCACTCCTCCGATGGAACCACGAATACGTCCAAATACCCGGAACACAGGTGTCAAAACGTGTTGTGCCACCCTGAGCAAGTGACAAAGCTGAAATGTGCCTCTTTTTACCCAGAAGGAAATGGGTACCCGACATTTGGAGTGGGTGTAAAAAACCCTCTAGTGCCCATGGGTTGTATACTCCCCTGGGAGTTGATAATGATAACTGGGTCTGAAAGGGATCCACTGGTCGGGAACAAATAAACCGCATTCGAGAAGATTATCCACTGGATAAGTGTGGTATATAAATGTAAAACATAATAGGATAATATAAAAAATGTCTTGTGGGTAGCATGTCCAGGTCAACGCTGTGCGAGGAACTTTAACCTAGATGCACGGGAGGATATCTTACAGCTATATCTGTCAGCCCGACATGCTTACACCAAGGCGGAACAGTTTATGCAAGTCACAGATCTGAGAGACAAGGTATGTTATAGAGATAGCAACCACGTGGTGTATAACGAAAGTGTCTTTACTATACCGCGGTAAAGGGTGTACACTTTTTTGCACCTGGATTATTTGAATTTCTTGATATGACATCGGATATTAGTTATACCAAATTGCTTCCCCTCCCAAATTTACCAGATTGCTCCCCCCAGTAATTATGCCAGATTGCTTCCCTTACTAATTATGCCAGATTGCTTCCCCTACTAATTTTACCAGATTGCTTCCCCTACTAATTATGCCAGATTGCTTCCCCCACTAATTATGCCAGATTGCTTCCCCTACTAATTATGCCAGATTGCTTCCCCCACTAATTATGCCAGATTGCTTCCCCTACTAATTTTACCAGATTGCTTCCCCTACTAATTTTACCAGATTGCTTCCCCTACTAATTATGCCGGATAGCTTCCCCCACTAATTATGCCAGATTGCTTCTGCTACTAATTTTACCAGATTGCTTCCCCTACTAATTTTACCAGATTGCTTCCCCTACTAATTATGCCAGATTGCTTCTCCTACTAATTTTACCAGATTGCTTCCCCTACTAATTATGCCAGATTGCTTCCCCCACTAATTATGCCAGATTGCTTCCCTCACTAATTATGCCAGATTGCTTCCCCTACTAATTATGCCAGATAGCTTCCCCCACTAACTATGCCAGATTGCTTCCCCTACTAATTATGCCAGATTGCTTCCCCCAGTAATTATGCCAGATTGCTTCCCCTACTAATTATGCCAGATTGCTTGCCCCACTAATTATGCCAGATTGCTTCCCCCACTAATTATGCCAGATTGCTTCCCCCACCTCGTCTGTTTCCGGTATAATCCATGACATTCGTGACTTATTCGTGACCAACTCCGTCCATCCGGGACAAGTCGTGCCCCTCTCGAAGGTTTGCATATGGGCCTATGAACACGAGATCGAGTTCAAACAAGAAGGATAACTCTTACCGTACCCGTGTCTCAGTGTTCAATACAGGCGTTACAGCAGTGCTTGCTAATTCCTGTTTTCGAACCTCTATTACAAACCTTTACAAAAATTACTCTTTATGTAAACATTTTACATCAAGGGTTGCGGGTTAAAACTTTTTGTAAAATATGTAAAAATTGTGTATTGTTACACACAACAAAGTAAGAGCAGTTTAATATTCAAGCTCAGTGAGGATTCCCAAGTAGCCTTTGCTTCCCGTTCTGGGTGGGGTGGTCAGACTCGGTGAACAGGTTGATTGTGTACCGTCGTACCCCGATGGCTAGGATCGTTGTTAACAGTATGAACGACAGGTTGCCCTGGTCGAGTCTTGATTATGTAGTCAAGTAAAGACATCTGGCTGAATACAAAATACATATATATGCTTGATATAAAATACAGCTTACGTATAGTTGGTATTTAACTAAAGAGTGAGTGAGTATTTGAGTATTGTTTTACACCGCTTTTAGCAATATTCCAGCAATATCACGGCGGGGGACACCAGAAATGGGCTTCACACATTGTACCCATGTGGGGAAACGAACCGGGTCTTCGGCGTGACGAGCGAACGCTTTAACAGCTAGGCTACCCGACCGCCCTTTAACTGAAAGAAATGTGTAGGAATATCATGCATGTTTCATAAACCAGAATATATTGTTTAGAATATGTTGTTTAAAACCTCTAATATTTATTCCCTTAATTTTCCATTAACAGCCTCTGTAAGTATTTAATACTGGTATTTATACGACATCCTTTCAGTGTACTGTCGCTTTGGCTTAGGTTTTCTTTGACAAATTTCTAAATAATTCGTTTGAATATTTTGATTAAATTTTATAGGGGAACTATTTTATTGTAAATCTAATTTGACTGACAGAGTTGCCACCGTGTTGATGCATCCGTTCCTTGTTGCCTTTCCATCGGTGCACCCCTGCAATTATACTTGTCCTTTATCAAATGGAAGCTACTATGATCTGTGAATTGGCACGTTTGTTTGTCATAACGTTACGAAATGCAGTCAGATGGCCCACGTGTTGTCGTAATGAAACAAGGTAACATTTCTGACATAAATTATTTCAGCCATATCAGTCTGTTTAGGGTAAAGTCCCGAAGCACTGGTATTGCAACCGATCCTGCTGGTGGCTTCGCTATAGGTTGCTTTGCAATTTCTATCTTTAAAATTGCTTTAATTTGTAAAAGGTTTTAACTACGTAAAATTATTTTATTGTACATATAATCTGACGAACAAAGAGTTGCCCCGCGTTCATGCCTCGCATCAAAGGTTTCAGCCGTTCATCAGTCTTTGTTTAGTCTGGACCAGACAAGCCAGTGATTCCAAGCCGTCAAGGTACGATGACGATGACACGCGTTCAACCAAATCAGCTGGCATGTTATGTTGTTTGTTGTCGAACGCGACACTCGTATATTCCAGCTATACGACGGACGTGATAGCAGTAGATAAAGTAGTACTTATTGATGTAGAAGACGTAACAGTACTCAATGTAGTAGTCGTAGAAGTACTCACTGTCGTAGTAGTAGTAGTAGTAGTAGTAGTAGTAGTAGTAGTAGTAGTAGTAGTAGTAGTAGTAGAAGTAGTAGTAGTAGTAGTAGCAGTAGTAGCAGTAGTAGCGGTAGTATGTAGTACTAGAAGTAGTAAGTAGTTGAAGTAGTAGTAGTAGAAGAAGAAGTAGTAGTAGTAGTTGTAGAAGTAGTATGTAGTAGTAGTGGTAGTAGAAGTAGTGGTTGTAGAAGTAATAGTAGCATGTAGTAGAAGTAGTACTTATTGATGTAGTAGACGTAGCAGTACGCAATGTAGTTGTCGTAGAAGTACTCACTGTCGTAGTAGTAGTAGTAGTACTAGTAGTAGAAGTAGCAGTAGTAGTACTAGTAGTAGAAGCAGTAGTAGTAGTAGTAGCAGTAGTAGCAGTAGTAGTAGTAGTAGTTGTAGAAGTAGGTGTAGCAGTAGCAGTAGCAGTAGTAGTAAGTAGTAGAAGTAGTAGCAGTAGTAGTTGTTTTTGTAGAAGTAGAAGTAGTAGTAGTTGTAGTAGAGTGAGTGAGTTGGGTTTAACGCCACTCTTAACAGCATTCCAGTTATATCGCGGTGTGTCAGCTTAATGTGG